TGGACCAGTCACTGACTGTCAGCCTGACATACCTCACAGGGTTGTTGTGAGGATAATAAAGAGCAACCAGCCTGGGCTCCTATGAGGAGGAGGAGGAGGAACAAATAGATGCATCAAGAGAACTATTGATTCAAGAATAAGAAAAATGTGTCTGAAATCTTGCTGTGCTGTGTCAGGGGTTGGACTCAATGACCTCAACACCCCTCTTAACTCTGATGCTGTATGGCCAACTGACTGTGACAAGATTATAGGATTTGAAAGTGGTGCTGGATCAGACCAAAGGTCCATCTCATTCAGTATACTGTCCATTCAGTGACCGGCCAGCTGCCTATTGGGGTCCCCCAAGCATGACAGGAATGCAGCAGCACCCTCCTGCCGGGTGTGCAAAGGCACTGGAGGCAACATAGAACCATGAGGACTGGAGCCGTTGATAGCCTTCTCCTCCCCAAATCCGGTCCATCTCCATTTCAAGTGACCCAAATTGGTAGGCTTCACTGCATTCTGTGGAAGTTTATTCTATAGCACATTGCATGAAGACAAATGCCCTTTTATCTCTGCCAGATCTCCTACCAATCCGGTTCATAGGATAATCCCAGATTCTAACAATGAATTAAACCTGCAGAAGCAGCCCCCATATGCTTCTATAAGACCACCTCAGAATCACTGTTTTACAGGAAACTGGGAGTCCTTGTGCCTCTGTAAAGGCCAACCCCATTGTGTTGTTGCATTTTTCCCTGTGTAGTTTGCTTTGCCTTTGCTTGCCAGTATTTATTTTCCTTGCATTCATTTTGCTTGCTTTTGCTGTCTACATTATCTTGGTTATACTTCACTTTGCCTATCACTTGTGTTCAGCTTTCCTGTATCCGGCTGCGTTTCCCATTCCACTCACTCCATTTCCTTTGGTTATTTAAGTCCATTTGCAACAAGATTTTAAAGAAAGCCATTGTGAGGAAAAAGTTGCTTCCATGGATACTAAGCGTAGCTCAGAAGGAAATGAGAATGTTCTCACAAGCCTTCCTTCAGCAGGAGCCTCTTCCCTCCTTCCCTTTCCCTCAGCTCGATTCCAGAAAAGGCACGTGATCTTGGAGAGGCCATTTTAAGGTGTTGCCCATTCCTCACAAGGCCGCATGGGCGAGAAGGCTGCATGCGGCTGCTTAGCGTGAAGTGACAGAAAACTGACTGCAACAGATGCTCTTAAAACACTGGTCTACAAGGAGAAAGCCTCAGAAATGAAAGTAGCTAAATTTTACCAGAATTGGGTCACTAATAAAGGAAAATTAAATCCTGAGTATTAATTGGCTCCAGTTTCCAAGATACAGCTTCAGGTCAAAATTACATCAAAATAATTCAAAATTAAGAGGGGGATGTGTGATTATGCTCCATAATTTTTCTGCAAAATGTGATATCGCAATGAGAATGGTGCCACACCAATAATTATACATTTATCTTTTTATTGATACCAATAGCATAACTTTCCATTCGGCTATTGGTTTTTCATGTAACATTTTCATGCTTTTTGCATGAAAAACTGACAAGCTGTAACATCAGATTAAACTACAAGGTTCCATTTTTATTTGGTATCTAAACTGCGCTTTTCTCTTGTGAACTGCAGTAGGATCAACCCTGGAGAGAGTCCAGCAGTAATCGGCAAGCATGGACAGACTCCATTTCCCTTGGTATCTTTTCTCCATGCCTGCGATATCCTGGTGGAATTGGGGGAACCATGCAAAAATAGCAGTTACTACTATGATTGGTGGGTTCGCTCCACACCATTGGGGCTGCGAAGGGCATGGACTTTTTCTTCTTGTTTAGCCAATGATGCAGATAAGTCACACACGTAATCCAACAATAATGAGGGGCCCAACTCTTTTTTCCCCCCGATTTATATCCTGCCTTTTTCCTACAAAGGGCTCAAGGCAGCTTACATCATTCTCCTCCTCCATCTTATCCCCACAACAACAACCCTGTGAGGTAGGTTGGGCTAAGATTCTGTGACTGGCTCCATGGCTCTTGTCCTCATCCCCTATTTTGCATCCAAAATATAGGTGCTATTTCTTTTTTTACCACTGCCATCATACTGCACTTTTGAGATGCAAATGTAACTTCGTCACAAAGGTAGCAGAAGTTACATGTGTTGTTTACACAATTCTGATTCATCTTGGCCTCTGAGGGAAAAATCACACAACTATTCCTTAGAAATGTTAGGCAACGACACTTTCACAAGCCACTAGATCAGGGCTCCTCAAACTTTTTGAACAGGGGGCCAGTTGAAAGGTGCCAGTGATGGGCACGGGCCGCCAAAGCAGTGCGGGCAGGGGGCACGGGCCGGGGCGGGGGGGTCACAGGGGCGGGCATGCGCAGAGGTCATTTTCTCCAAGCGAGTCCAAAACGATCTCCTTGCGAGCAAGCCGGTAGATCTGACCAGGACAAATGTACCTTGCAATAAAAGAACTATAAATTACAGTTAGGTGATCATCTTTAGTCTCAAGTGAAGATACATTTATACACTTCCATGGGTTACCATTTTCATTGTTTTACCGGACTTTGTCAAGAAGTTACAAGGCATCATCAGACACCTCCCTCCCTTGTAGGCAAATATACTCGCCTGTGTATAAATCTTTATCACCTGTTTTCTAATTCATCTAATCAAAATATGTAAGAATTAGCGCATTTTATCTTGAAGGTCAATAATGTCCCAAAATTTGTAGACCAGTGAAATCAGGTGTGAGCAGAAAATGCCTCTCCTCTTTCTCCCAATTCAGGTTGATTTTCCCCCCTCAGGTATCGGAACCACTTGTGTGTGTTTAGGCTGGGATTGGTGACACACACCCCGATGGGTAAATTCAGCCTTCCCCAACTAAGGGCCTTCCAGATAGGTTGGACTACAGTGATCACAATTCCCCCAATCAGCACAGCTGCAGTACAAAACACCTGGAGGCCACCAAGCAGAAGGAGGATGATCAAAAGCACTGTCTTGATGTATGGCCAGACAGCAGAAGGCCCTACAACTCCCAGGATGCCCCAGCATGCCGGGAGATGTGGGGCCTTTGTAGTGTCCCACTTGCCTCGAGAAGTCACCAAAAGAGAGCGCCACACGAATGAAGTCATGGCCGCCCGGCAAATGAGGGGCAACAGCGGAAGAGGCCTGGCCCGCTTAGTTCCTTTCCCACCTGGGGCCACAGGAGCTCTTTGATTGGGGGGGGGGGGGTGTTGATAGCCTTTCAGATGCCCAGTCACTGAGCCATTTAGTGGTTTTTTAGCTCAAAGACAGCATATTGAAAACACACATGGATCCAGCTGGGCTCTCTGAACCCAGCTGGATCCATGGGCTGGTATCCTAAATTCTTCGTCATGGCCTATGTGCATCACACATACGGGTGCTGCGCCTGCACAGTGCCTTTGGCTGGAGATTGATAGCTAACGGTTTTTGGCGGGAAAAAGCTCTGCTCCCCCTCTAGCCTATAAAGAGCGTCGCGTCGCCATTTTGTTCAGTCTTTGTGACCGCCTTTTGCTGTGCCTCGTGCCGCTTTCGCTATCGCTCTGACCGTTGCTCATCTTGTTTGTTCTCGATTGTTCTTCTTTCCCAGTTATTATAGCCCTGTTAGTATTAGTAGTTCTTGTGGAAATTCTTGTTCCTCTTGAGAGTTCTCTGTTTTTTCTATCATTCTAACTCTTTCGATCTTCTATTAAAAAAAATACCAAAAATATATTCTTACCCTCTGCACTATCTTCTCCTTTTTTTCCTTTTCTTAAGATGGCGCAGTGAGCGGCTTTCTGCAAGTGCACAGAATGCGGGTCTAAGATGTCTCCTGCAGACCCGCATGACCTATGCCTCCTCTGTCTGGGGGAAGGGCATAGGACCGATAAGTGTTCTCA